GGGAAGTCATTGATGGTCCACATGACTGCTGTATGCATTGTAAATATTTGGCCATTTGAGGCATCATATGTTTGCACACCATGCTCCCACAGATTAGTTAACTCTTCTACTAATGGTTGCAAGTAAACATTGATGTCTCTTCCAGGTGCGGATCGTCCGGGAATAAGCAATGACATCATGACAAATGGATCTTTCATACACTCCCATGGGGGTAGATTGTAAGGCATTAAGATTACGGGCCACATACTGTACGATGTACTCATATTTCCGAATGGATTGAAACCATCTGTGGCAAGCCCTAGCCTTACATTCCGAGGATAAGCAGAGAATGAAGGATGCAACCTATGAAAATCCTTCCATGCCTCACCATCAGCTGGATGTCGTAATACTCCATCATCCACACGCTTATCTTTGTGCCATCTCATAAATGCGGCTATTTTTTTCGACATGTACAATCTCTTCAACCTCGGTGTCAAAGGAAAGTACCTCAGTATTTTGTGTGGAATTTTTTTACCCGTCTTGTCGTTCAACTTGTATCTACACTCCGTACATGTAGGGCAATTCTCCAATGTGGCGTTGTCCTTCCAAAATAGAGTACAATCATTCTTGCATGCATGAATGGCTTCATATCCCAAACTCAATTCACGTAAGAACATTTTCGCTTCATAAAGGGTCCATGGAACAGTTTCATCACACTTTGGTAGAATGTCTTTGAAAACTTGCATAACCATATCGAAAGATTTGTTGCTCCATTTATTGTACACCTTCAAATGAAGCATCTTAATTACGAAGGACAAGATGGAGAACTTTTCACACTCGGGATATACTTTGCGTTGAGCATCATCGAACAACTTCATGAACTTCAACAAATTGTGCCTCTCTGAACTAGTACGGTCTTCGTCGATATGATCATCCATGAGACCACTCATGTAAATCTCTTCTAACGTGGTAGAAAGTTCACCCACATTTTCGTGATTGTCTATCATTCCAGGTTCGTTGCTTTCAGTATCATCATTTCGCATACTAGGATGATCACGAAACATGGGAACATGTTCCCCATGGTGCACCCAAGTTCGATAAGAAATTGCGATTCCTCTTCAAATCAAGTGCAACCGTACAACATGTCGGCTAAATTTTGTGTCGTTCAAGCAATCAACACAAGGACAACGGATTTCTTCTTGCAGCCCTAAATTCTTCGTAGCGAACTCAATAAATGACTGAACACCCTGTACATACTCTTTACTTTTGATCTGATCTTTTATCATCATCCAACTCTTGTCCATTATTGGAACAGTACACATGAACCAAAGATGAACCTGGGAATGGACGACAATTTGGAAAAGTACTCTGTAATGGAAGAGAGCTTAAGTAAGTTTAAGGGTTCGATTAGCATTGCTTTTTGATGTTTACCGAAATAGTAATAATAGATCGGGATGTTTTGCCTATTTGTCAATTGCATATAGTTGGCTAATTTCAGTAGTAACTCGGCATGTATTCATACGCTAATGTGACATACATGAACAATTCTATGTGAAGTCATCTTAGAGGGAGACATATAATTGTAACCAAATTTAAAGAGAAATTAAATTTCATATTCAATATAGATAGGACGTTAATAGATAACAGAAAATACATGTTGTAAACATAAATTTTATGGAAATTAGATGGGTAAAACAAAAGTAATGAAATTTTAAAGTTTTGAAGCATTGAAAAAGATGCGAACATAAATCTAATAATTTGTATTGTTCTATACTAAAAAAGTGTGTGAACAAATTTATGGTTTGTTGGCTACACCAGATTATCCTCTGTTGTTTCTATGGAGTTGCAAAGGTCTACCACAATTTTTATTCATTAGGCTATTGATTAATCACACATTTTAATCCTAAGGCAAATTGTTTGTGGTTCTCTCTCAAACTATTTATGGCTACATTATTAAAGGCATTACAGTATGCAACTAAAGCTAATAAAATGGACACACTCCGATAATGATCACCGAGAGTGAAACAGGAATTCACGATATCACTGAGTTTTGCATAAAATTCATCGAACGTCTCATCGTCGCGCATAAAAAGGGTTTCAAAGGCGGACGTGAGACGTTGAAGTTTTGCCCTTTTAACAGAGGTGGTACCTTCGTGAATCGTTTCAAGAATATCCCACGCCTCTTTTGCTATTTCACACGTGCAAATTTGACGGAATTCTTCAGGTGTGACAGAGCAGAAGAGGGAGTTTAGAGCTTTGCTATTCCAACTCGAATTCTGGTAATCGATTGTGTCCCATTTATCAAGGGGTTTAGGAATATCAATCCCATCAACGGTGATTGTAGGTTCACTCCACCCAAGGATTACGGAGTGCCAAACTTTCTCATCGATGAATTTTAAAAATGCTCTCATACGAGCTTTCCAATAAGAATAGTTTGTACCGTCAATTAAATGGGGTCTATGAGTGGAGTTACCTTCACGAATAGAATCCATGATACTAATCACACAAAATCACACTCCTATAGTTTTAAAAAAAAAACAAAAAGTGACCCGCTCTGATACCAATTGAAAATCCTACGTGATTTGTGATTAGATCAAGATTAACTTATTCCAAATCCCAATAAATCAAAACACTCAACCTAAAATCATCAAACACTTACGAGAGTGATTTTAGTTTGTTTGTTTTTGAGAATAAACAATAAATAGACACAAACGATTTTTTACGTGGAAAAAACCACAATTGAAGAGCCTTCAATTGTAATCAAAAACCACGGGCGAACCGCCACTATCAATCCACTACTGAAGAACAAAAAGATTACAAAGATACCATACAAATTACCCAACCCAGTCAATTTGTCTCTGAATCTTCTGTAACTCTTTCACCACGCCTTCGTCACGGAATTGATCCTGAAGTTGATTCCACACCACAACTTCTCTTGTCGAATTAACGACTGCGTAGAATCAAATGCCTTTTGGATTCTACGCTTTAATCTTCGGAATCCACCGAAGAACTCTCTCTCTTGAAATCAAAGTCACCAACTCCTTGATGTATGTATTTTAGATCATGAGTGAAGAACTCTTCTCAAAATATCAAGGAAAAAACTCACCAAACAACCCAGAATAAAACCTCTGAACCACACCCTAGAACCCTTGAATAAGATCTAGAAAAGTAAATCTAAAACAGACCCAATCAGCGAATTTATAAAATCTGGGATCGCGCGGTCCGCTCGAGCATCGGTCTTCCCGCTCGAGCGGAGACTTCAACTTCTGTGATTTCATACAGGCTCCACGCTCGAGCGGCAGTTTCCACGCTCGAGCGTCGAATCACACCATCCAGTACTTTGTCAGGCGACTGCAGAGATGCTGAGAGCTGCCAATACCCGCTCGAGCGTAACTTTCCCCGCTCGAGCGGGGAGACCAAAATTTGAACAACTGGAAAACTGAAACCTGAACAACCTTGGTTTTGATCCATGGATTTGACAACAAAGGGTCCTAACATTACGACTGATTCATTATTTCACAAACAAAAAACACAACAAAAATCACAACATCTGCATTACCTCCAGGGATTTTGATAACATAGACCACTACAATTTGTTGCATTGAGAATGAATAGCAGGTGACTGTAGCTAAAACAAAGATCTGCCAACATCTGGCGCTTAGATCCACGGAAGGAACCATACTTTTTTTTGTTGTTGTTGAGGATATTGACATAATTATATTATAAACTAATAAAATTCAAGAAGACGATTTTCAATTTCCCACTTGATAGCCTCCATGCATGCTCGAGATTTTGCTGCTATAAGGGGATGGCAAATGGATTTGCCTTGCTTCCTGACCAATAAGAACCTTAGTGTATAACAAACCCAACCAACAGCAACTTTTGCCTCATTCTCTGTCCTTCCAAGCTCCATCAATTATCAAGGTATTGACGTGCAATGCTGGAGTGTTAGCAGTAGTATTCATTAGTAGACAAGGCCTACTATATAACGCAGTGGTATTTACATCTGTATTTGAGGGCTTAGGAGGTTGAATAAGACTTTTCCTCTTTACAGATACATACAACTCTTGCACCAAATTTATTGATTGTATTGGGTTCATTAAGGTATTTTTAAATTCTACACTATTTCGTTGTAACCATACAAGTACAGTTATGGATTGAAGCAGAAGATCTTCATCCTTAACCTATTCCACCCATTGTGTAAACCATTCCTTAAAGCTCAAAGGTTCTCCAGCCAAGAAGTCCAATCCTAAAGATGACCCTCGCCAAATTCTTTGAGAATAAGAACACGTCAATGAAACATACTCCATGGTTTCATTATCAGCTAGACACCTACAATAGATAGTATCTAAATTCATCCCTTTTCCCCTTAGATTCCAACAAATTGGCAAAATATTGTACAAGCATTTCTAGATAAAGATACTTCATTTTGTCCTAATTTCATGAACATTACAATGATAACACAAGGAGAGAAAGAACAAGGCAAATTAAAGGGAACACAACCCCAACTCTCAGATCCATTAAAGCAAGTATGGATTTCAAGTGATACAAAATTCAGAGAGGCTTAATATCAGCTTTTTAACCTGTTCACAAGTGATGAGAGCAGTAAACACAACAATGATCATCACAACATTCAACTCAAAAAAAAAAATAAAAAATAAAATCAGAAATCGAGAAGCAAAAATCTAAAATCGAGAATCATCACAGCATTCAATTTCCCAACAATGCATATATATATAGGGTTAGTTTGGAATATTCCAGAAACATAGGCATATTCGGTCATAGAGGTGAACAATCCAAAATGGAGAATCAGAAATCCACAATCTGAAATTTCAACCATCCATTCACGAAATCAGAAAAAGTCCTAAAAAATTGATTACGAATTCAACAGAAAAAGAAAGAAAACAAACATTTAAAAACCCTACACAAATCGTGAGACACGGGGATGGGAGAGACAGCGAGAAGGAGATACAAACAGACAGACACAGATCGACAAAGAGAGAGAGATGAGAGAGAAATACCTGTAATCAGTGGTGGGGCCGATTTGCAGTGGTCGTGATGGCGAGCGCCGGTGGCTAGCGATGGTGATGATCGGCGGTGGTCAGCGGTGCTGAGGTTTGGCATCGAGTGCTCTGTATGTTGGTGTGTGTGAAACAGAAGAAAAATAATTCTTTGTTAAATATAGGTGCCAATATTAATGAGTTTCCCTCTAAAAAAAATTCGAAGCTTTAGCAACTAAACCATTCTTTATTGCCAAATATCGTCAGCAGCGACTAAAATTTGGTTGCCAAGAAGACCATATTTTGGCTACTAAATTAAAATTTTCGTCGGCAATGTTTAATATACAACGACTAATTTAGTTGTGGTCACCAAATATTCATCAAAATACTCCCAATTTTTGGCGACAAACATTTTTTGTCGGAAAATGTTATCATACGGCGACTAAATGGAATTTTAGTAGCGTAAAATGGTTGCAAACAGTGACTAAAAACAACTTTGGTCGCCAATAATACTATACGGCGACTAAAAGAATTTAGTAGCTAAAAAGAGTAAATGAATGCCGACTAAAATTCAATTTTGGTCGCCCAATATACTGTTTTTGGCGACTAAAATTGCTTTGGTCACCAATTTTAGACGCCAATTGTGTAGTTTGTTGTAGTGATTATACTAATAACTGGTCATCTATCTTCTCCTTTCAAACACACATTAATATATATTACTTGAGCGTTGTTTTTATGAATGGTAAGTTGGTAAAACTTTTCAAGATGATATAGAACATAGATTGTTAGTAGCTTTTTTTTTAGAACAATTTTAAGTGCATTCATTCCCATCTACGATCGCTGATCTTGGATTGTGCAGTTGCTCTTGTCATAATTGGCCAATCAAGGGGTTTCCATGTGTGAGCATGCAATGAACAAATATGTCTTAAAGAGAAAGTGTTAAATATTTGACTTGATCTGACTTTTTTTTTTTTTTTTTTTTTTTTTCAGTTTTTCGATAAGTTTCATTAAGATTTGTTTTTCAATTTCTTATTATTTTGTTTTGATTACTGTTTCACATAATCACACAATTGTACACAAAATTGGTCCATCAAAAATTGCTATAGTTTTTTTTTTTTTTTTTTTTTTTTTTTTTTTTTTTTTTTTTTTTTTTTCAGTTTTTGCTTATTGCTTCGTTTTGATTACTGTTTCACATAATCACACAATTGTGCACAAAAGATTGGTCCATCAAAAATTCCGATAACAAATATTTTTGTTGAAAAACATCCTTGTGAAAGTATTAAGCCAAAAAATAAAAAATAAAAAAATAAAATTATTGAATGGTTCCTTACAACAAACAATGAAAACTCAAAAGCAAAAGCATAAGTATATTTATAAATTGAGGGATACAAGAGATGAATAAAAGTTGTTTCTTTTTTTATTTATTTTCTTTTTTTTTTTTGGGGGGGGGGGGGGGGGGGAGGGATACAAGGACCCCACAACCCCCTTTGTGATCCACACTATTCATGATGTGGACCCCACACATCATGAATGGTGTAGATCAGTAAGGGGGTTGTGGGGGTCCTCCACAAAGGGGGTCTCACTCATTTTTCTTTATGGTATATGCACTTGTTACTTGTTTGTGTGGTATTTGTTACCTATTTTGTGGTATATATTATGTATTTTTGTGACAAATGTTATATAATTTTTTAGTAGAGTTATGAAAATTTGTGATTCATAAATCAAGTTACGTGTGTAGTAATTCTACCAAAAAAATTTGTAACATTTGTTATAAAAATGTGTAATATGTACCACAAAAATACGTAATAGATGCATATAGTACACTAGTGACCGCGCCAAAAAATAAATTGAGAGGGTTCAAATTGTCTTATCAAAGTCATTGAACTACCTTGTCAATTTGTTGGGAAATATTAGGTGTGCATCATATGCACCTTTACTTACCACCTTTGAATCACTAATTATGACATATTGTATTGTTAGTTATGACATAATGCGATATTAGTGAGTGTGTACCATAAAATTTCCCTAATAACAAATATAATATAATATAAAAGTTTGACAATTATAACATTATTAATGAACAATTTGTGTATCAAAAACTAATCATTATATAATTATACTAGTATAAAACTCGTGCTATGCACAACCTTAAATAAATAATTAAAATTTTATTTTAAAAGTTAAAGTAATAATTTTTAAATTCAAAAGAAAAAATAAGTTACAATTATGGGAATAAGTTGTTTCTTGACAACTTTGTTGGATATATATATATATAACAAAAAAATTATTTCGTGATAGAAAAATAATTAACAAATGAATGATCACAATTCATAAACTTGAGAAAAATATATTGAGATTTTCATCATCAATTTGCAAAATAAAATTTTTCCATATTGATGAAAATTTCAAAGATTCTCTAAAAATTTGAAAAATATTGCCATATTGATAACTAAATATAAAATAAAATAATGAAAAAGAAAATTGACGAGAACCAATAATGTGATGACATTTATATTTTTACATTATAAAAATTCATAAATTTAAAGAATATATACTGAGATTTTCATCAACAAAGAACTCACAACATTTTTGCTTATATAATAGTCTAGATTAGTTATCACATTTTGTAATTGTTATTTTAGCTACGAACAAAGAGATATGTAGTTATGCCTTAAGTAGTATTTGGATATGACTCATTTTTATATTGATTATGACTTAGTTATGATTAATTACGGTGTTAGTTATGACCAATGTTTAGTTATGATATATTATGATTTCTTTTGTTATGACTGAATAGTTTTAGGTGCCAAATTTTTTCGTTCCAAAAAGTGAAAAAAGTAGCCTCAAGAAAAAGAAGAAAAAAAAAGAAACTAGTATCGAGAATAGTACTAAAAAATATATATTTTTAGAGACAAATAATTTGGTGCTTAAAAAATTTAAACAAATCAAAAAATAGTAATTCATCAGTAAATGTATAACAACAATAACACTTTTGATAATAAAAATAAAAGTAACCACTTGAGTATTTGTCCTATAAATTTCTCTTCAAGTGTTGAAGACCAAAAAAAAAATAAAAAAAAAATGATAGCAATTAGGAAAAAGACTTCGAATTGCCTCTTTAAGACCAACATTCTTATCATAAATAAATGTGAAAACTCTGTCTAGTGTTAATATTCTAGCAAGATGTTGGAAAAACCAAAACCAATTACCTTCATTTCGAATAAACAACCACAAAAGCAACTGAAAAAAATGTCTACATCATGCAATAATAAACAATAACATCATAAACTAGGTCTAAATCTACTGTAACATAAATAGAAATTTCAATGTATTACATACAATAAAATTTCAAACTCATGAGAAATTAGACAGACGTAGTGCAATTTCACAAACTTACATTGTACAAAATCAATGTAATTTTAATACATTGACTTCCAATCAGATAGAGAAATTTCAATATGTTGCAGGCAGCGAAATTTCATTGACTTATATTGCACAAAATCTGCGAGTCCCAAAATAATCCCTCACATGGACTGTTGTTGAGATTCAACGAAGATAGTCCCATGAACATGCAAGAGATAAATATGGTTGATGCCACCCAACCGGAGTTATCGGCTGGAGATACTCTAATGATGAAGAATTCATGAATGAAGAATATACATCAAGAATTGTAAAGAGTGCTATGTGTGAAGTACAGGGAAGAATGCATACCTCTTGTGTATGGGTTCACCTCCTTTTATAGGGGATAAATGATATTTGTTTAGGATATTTTATCCCTATAGTTAGGATATTTTTCTAGCTCCCACAAAATCAATTTAATTTTAATAAATTGACTTAAAATCCAGTAACTCATATTATTGAGGTTTCTCTGAAATAAATTCAACCCAATAATATGTAACTAACAAAAGTACAATCATCTCCAGATTTTCCTGTCGCGGAAAGTAAAGTTCTTTCAAAAAAAGTTTCATCAAGAAATAAATGGGACAAAAAAAAAGTTAAACCCATGAACACAAGCATGAAATGCAACAAACAACCCTTTGAAATTAGTAGTATTCTGCTCAAATTCAACTCAAATCGACTTCCAGAATTCTTACTCAAAGCTTTTGTTGGAAAAAATGGTTTTATGGTAAATTTAATGAGAAATTAAAGTAGGTCTCAACCATTGGTTGAGGTGGGATTAAATAGGTTTAAATTCTTTGTAACAAGGTCTTTACACCACAAAAAGAATGATAAAAAATTATTAAGAGTTGAATGAGAAATTGTCTCATAAAGTTGGCCTCATGAATGAAATATTGCGAATTGTGTATAACTACCAATCTCACATTGATTGTAAATGAAAACTTTGATGGGTATTTAAATATCAAGATTTTGATAAGGGCATGAGCGCTTTGGGGCATCCAAATTTTCTGAAAGAAGGGAGTTCTGGATATTTCAAGAATGGGCTTGGGCAAACTATGGTCCAAGTTGGTTATGGAAAAATTGCCACACGCGCACCCGCCCACCTGGTTTGGACCGGGTTGTCGGGTTTGGGCTGGGCTGGATCACCAACCTAATCTTTTTGGACTAGGTTTGCTACAGATATACACGTGTGTATATAGAGTATATAACTCATATACTAATTGACCCATCAGTTTTGGTGCATTACTCTAGTAGTTTTGCAGGAGTAATGACCTGCATTTGGTGCCAGCCTTGATGGTTGGAGGCTTCGCTTCTGGTGTATAAATAGAGACAAACTTTTTTGGTTGTCAACACAAAATTTTTGCCGTCCAGAATTATACAGTCAGCTTGCTTGCTTCTATAATTTTTTTTCTGTGTGAGAGGGTGCTGCCATTGTCGATTCGCCAAAGCTAACAGAAGGTGCTTCTGCGTTAGCCGATCTAAATCATCGTATTTTGGGAGACAGAAGCAGACATACGTCTAGCACTCACGGTGAGGCGGCTAATCTGTTTTAGGGAGACTGTGGTATCACACAGGTTTCTGTTTGCTTTCTTTACCATTTTATTGTATTGTGTATTTCTGTGTAATATCAATGTAAATTCCAGCATGTTTTCTTATTCTGTAATTTAATTAGATTAATCATGAATTTATTTATTTTAGTTAATTACACAAATTGTACAATAATTTAAAAACAGATTGCAATATATTTCCCAAGAAATTATACAAATAGAATTCATGATTACTGTTACAGTTCCAAACCTCATGTAAAAATTCCAAC